TTTTTTTTTTTTTTTAAACAGGTATTTGTGAACTTTGCCAAGGACCAAAGTGATGATGACCACTTAAAGGACCTGTCATTACACAAAAACCAGACAGTAGTAGATGTTGCAGTTCTCACATCTTTTCTACAGGATGAGAAAGTGAAAGAAAGTTATGTATGAAGAATCCTTTTTGTACAAGGTGGCTGAAAGTAAGGAGGAACTAGACCTTCCTTTGCACCATGTGAAGTGTTCCAAAGGAAAAAGGCAGAAGTCCTTGTGGGAAGAAATAAACTGGATACTGTACTGATACTGTTCAATGCAATGCAATTCAATGCAATGAAAACAAAATTCCATTACAGGGGCAGTGCCTTTGTAGCCTATGTCTCGTATGGCTCTCGAGTGAAAAAGACTTGAATTTAGTTTATTACTTTATACTATGTGAAACTCTAGTATGGAACCCAGTGGACATATGGGTTTCCAATGATACTTTTTTGTTCCTGTGTATTCTCAATGAGGTTGAAACAATAATTCATCAAGTAATCATGGCCAGTGATTATTTACCAAAATCAAAAGGCATGCACATCCTCCTTCATTAAACCATGCCACACCATGGGACTGGTTTTCCAGTGACACATCCATTGCTTGCAATGAGTGTGCCAGAATTACTAGTGCCAAGTTGCTCAGAAAATCTGAACACCATGGTGTGTCACACACACTTTTGGGAAAGCTGCTGTGCTCCAGAGTCTGTCGACATCCTTAAGTATCAGGTGACAAAATGGTGCCATGTATGGCTAAAGTCCTGCTTTGAGCTGCTTTGGTGTTGGTGACATGGAATATGTGGGACTCTCTAGACACAGGAAACTTGGTTCCACTGTTATATTGTCCTGTGTTTGTTTGGTCTATAGGGTCATGTTTTTCTGAGACTCCTAATATATGTAGATCCTAGTAGGCGGCAACCAAATTGCTGGGGCTACAAGCTGCTGCGGCCTGGGTGTGGGATTAAAGGGATGATGCATTCAAACCTGGGAAAACCTGTGCACATTTGTCCTGATTGTCTACTAACACGGTACACTGCATCTCGAGATCTTTTGTTACCTGACCCAAGCATAGTATTATTTCTTATTTTGAATTAACAAAGAAAATGAAAAGGTAAGAGTTGTAGTTTGACAAAAATCTTTGTACTTTTAATGTTATGTGGAATTTTAAGTACTATCAGTGACTTCTGAATCATTAGACTGGCCCCTTTCTGGAACCCAGTGGCATATAGTATGGCCACACTGCCTCAGTGACATTATTTTCTTGTATAAGATTGATCATCAGACTAGTGCCTACAAAACAATGTGATGGTCAAATCTTATGACATTTGAGTTTCTTTAAGATCACACAGAATACTTTTAATCTTAGTTCTTCAATCAAGTATTTTTTGAGTGTATGCTGTAGCTGAAAGACTGTGTGTGTATGAACATATGTGTGTATGGAGGGGGAAGAATTAAGTCTCAGATGTCCCGTGCCATGTTATTTGGCTAACTGGTTTACAAGTAATAGGTTTTTTTGTTGTGGTCGTGGGAGCCCACTGAAAGAATATTTGGTGGCTTTTTTTTTTTTTAATAGCAACAATGCAAAAGCCAAGAAAGTATAAGGGTCACAAAGCCAAACAATGAATTCTTTCATAGAGAAAACAGCTAGCTTGGAAATGTGTCAAACAATACAATGTGTGTTTTATGGCATTTTGTACATTCAAATAACTGGCTTTGCAGATGTAAGACATCCTGTTACATCTCTGACAATCTCAAATTTTTCATCTCTTCCATCACTAATTTGTGAAAAACATAAAAGGAACAAATGTTTCCACATGGAGTATTTTTCAGACTTTTTTAGCCCAGTCTGAAACAAAAATATAAGAGAACTACTATGTGGCAAAGTTCAAGTGATCTTTCAATATTATTACTCATTCTTTCAACTTTTTCCAAAATTTAAATATTAACACTAAAGGTGTAAGACTTCAGATCTATTTCAAATTAACCTATGTTCTAAATTTACAGAATGTTATATAAATTATTGTTTGAAAAGAAAGAAAATCACTGTTTGAGAGATCAATGTCAGTATTATTTTCTAAAATGATAATTAATGAAGGCACATTTCCAATGACTGGTGACATGAAATCATTATATTTTATTTTGTCTTCGAAGATACACAATTCATAGAATCGTTTATCCTTGTCTAATATTTTTCAAACTCAAGCTTCTCTTAGTTTTCTCATTTCCCTATAATCATCATGTTCTCATTCTTCATTATATTAAATCCATAAGCAACTCCTTCCTTTAATTACTCTGATTTTAAAGACATATTAAAAAAAATCAAAAGGCACTGTGAACTATTTTGAAATAATGCAACATTTCAATATAGAGTTAAAAGGAGCTCTTCTGAGGCTAGAAATAATCTGCAGTTACACATCAACTTCATTGTATTACCACTAACATTGTGTTACTTTTTTAGACTATCCAAATAATTTTTAAAACTTTCCTGTGTAAACTTAATTACGGTAGAAACTTTACCAACTCTATATTTAAGTAAAATTTCTATATGGTCCCTGTGGAAAAATGTAACTGTGAGTTTCAGAAATAATCAAAAGGCGTGTTCAAAGATTTCTGCTTCTGCATCTTCTGTACACCTTGGAAAACTTATTAACGACTGTGAATATGAAACATACAATGAAAATAACAAGCGCTCTATACATAAATGCCCAGCACAATTCATTGTTAAAAACAACCAAACCTCAGACTACTGTATTTCATTATCTGTACTGAAAGCATATGTTTTGTGACTATTAAATGTTGCACATCATTCATTCACTGTATAGTAATCATTGACTAAAGGGATTTCTCTATGTTTTTTTCATACGGTTGTATATATCAGGTAAATTTTTCCAAAGAGCCATGTGTCCTATAATACTGAACCACTTTGATATTGAGATATTAATTTGTATACTCTTGTTACAATTTACTAGTAATAATGTAATATTATAGTAATATTGCTCTAATTCTTTCCAAAATTATTGCATCCCTTTTTACAGAATGTTTATACTTCCATAAGTATTAGTATGCTATTATCCCTCCTTATACCTTACGATAAAGCTGTTTTTGTGCTTTTATCTATCATTGGCCCTCATTCCAAGCACTTTACGCTGTCTGTAATGAGATCTATTTTTTGCACTGGAATATCTGAGAATTGCAAAACTAAACAGACGTTTCACAATAGATTTCTAAGTTAAATCATTTTCATTAAAAGAAAAACAAAAAATATTTGTATTGTAAATAACTTTATATGAAGTATTAAAAGGCATATTTGTATGTTGTAATAAGTCACAAAATAAAGCTGTGACAGTTCTCTTGGTCTCGTCTATACAGTTTATTTTTGTGTGTTCATGGCACCACCTACTGTTACAGTGCTATAAAGCCATTATGGGAGTAAGAAATATCCACAGAGGGGAAGCCATTTGGATGAAAAGTAAAAATGTTAGGAAAGATTCAGATGTCCTATTAATCATAAAAGAGAACTGAGGAGACTACTTGAAAATAACAGTGTTTGGTACTTTTTCTTTTTTGTGACACAGAGTCTTGCTATGTCACCCTCGGTAGAGTGCAGTGGCGTCACAGCTCACAGCAACCTCAAACTCTTGGGCTTAAGTGAGCCTCTTGCCTCAGCCTCCCAAGTAGCTGGGACTACAGGCGCCCACCACAGCACCAGGCTATTTTTTTGTTGCAGTTGTCATTGTTTTTTTAATTGGCCCGGGCTGGGTTCGAACCCCCAGCCTCAGTGTATGTGGCTGGCACCCTCCCCACCGAGCTAGGAGCACTGGCCTAGTGTTTGGTACTTTCACGTAAGTTAAGATACTAACTGGTATTAAATAAGTGTAAGAGGATTTTGGATAAACTTATCTGCTTAATGGTTATGAACCTGCATTGAGATCTCTGAAAATACTCTAAGTAAGCTTATTTAGTAAAAAATTCACTTGATATACAAAGGCAGCCTTTTATCAACATAAAAGGACACGGTGTGGCAAGTAGACCGGCCAGCCAAGGACTGGCAATGTTGGCAAGTGTGAACATGCAGGAAAAGTAGCATGTGTGGGAAGAGAAATGATACTACTATGAGCTATGCCTTCCCTTTGTCCAGTAGTAAGTACTGTGTAGACAAGGAGTAGTGAGTGGTATGATGAGACAATGTGGATGTATTTTTTATAGCTCATTAAAAGTCAAAATCTCAAAAAACGTATCTGCTTATCTCGGCACTTGAAGAACCTCTGTCATTCCTTTTTAGGCAGTGCGAAGAGTCTGGCTCTAATTGTGACTTCTTGGGTACGGCTGTGATGAATGTGTAGTGAGCAGTCCTTTTTCCGTGGCACAGGTCTGGACATGCTGGGCAGAGGAACACAGCTTCAAATGAGCCACGATGCCCACTCAGCATCTGCATTGCTACTTCATCCTCCTGTCTGAAGTTCACATTATAGTGACTTAAAGGATAGAAATTGTTTTTGTTTTTTAATTGTGTAAAAAAGGAGAAGAAAAACTTCACTCAAAAATAAAAAAGTAGGTAATTTGATGAAAATAGGTTACTGATGAGTCTTGACCAAAGCATTCTTCTGTTAGAGAAAACTCATATTAACTTTTCCAGATTCAAAAAACTCTGGATCTATTGTGATGCTCATGTATATGTTAAGTATGGAAAAGCTCAAGTATTTGCTGTGTTATCGGGCATGTCATTTAATCCCCAACACCTGCTCTGTGAGGAAATGAGCGCCATTTTACCTATGAGCAAATTGTTGCTCAGGGGATGAGGAAGGTGTCCAAAGGTATAAGCACAGTTAAGTGGCGGAGGGTTCTATTTGTCTAACTTAGGTATCAGGTTAAAATCATCTTGGCATCATTATATATTAATTTAACAAACATTTTAAAAACTTTATTGTATACCAAATAGTTTTCTAGGTTCTGGGGATACAATATTGAAGAAAACAGAATTCCTGCTCTAGTGAACTTATAATTCAGTGGAGAAAGAGAATGGATGTGTAGACAAACCAGTCTAATGCATTTAGATGGCAATAAGTGCTGGGAAGAAAACAATAGGATAACTACGGACAGGAGTTAGAGATGGCCTGTCTGAGGGGTGATTGATACAGATGCTCAGAACCAAATAAAATGAGCAGGAACAACATTCAAAAGTGGGTGAGAAGAAAATTCCTGGGAGAAAGAAAATGTATGGCAAAAGCCCAGACAGGGGGAAAGTCTTGTAAGTTAAGAGGAACGGCTGCACCAGTGTCCCTGGAACAGGGTGAGAAGGGAGAAACAAAGGTAGGGATTAGAATTAGAGCGAAGGCAGGGACCAAATCCCCCAGCCAAATTCGTTAAGGTGTTTGGATTTCATTGTTAGTGCAATGAGAAGCCACTGGAGAGTTTAAAACAGGGCAGTGGTGTGATCTTATGTGTTTCAGAAAGAATGCTGCCTACTGGGAAGAAAGCACAGTCGGGAGGCTAAGGGCTGATGGGATTTTGGACTATGGTGACAGCAACATACAGGGAGGAAAGTTATCACTCTGTATCACCCATCTTGGAGACAGAGCCAGGACTTGCGGACGGGCTGTATGTAGATGAGGGAAAAAGAATATCAAAGAGACTTCTAGATAGATGATAATGTTAGAAGTGCATTGGTATTTCACTCAGGAGTTCAGGGGCAACAAGAGAAAAGAAGACAAAAATGTGCAAATCATCAGTATACATACATGTAGTGTTTAAGCCATGGGACTGAATAAGCTTACCCAGAGAGAGTGAAGACAGAGAACATTCTCCAGCATGAGATCCTGTGATACGTAGAAGAGAAGCCAGCAAGAACAACAGAGAGGGATGGCCAGTGAGGAAAAGGAAAATCTACAGAGTGTGATGCTATCCACTGAAGCACAGAGAATGAAGAGCTTCAGGAGGCAGAAGTTGTCAGCCACGTCCAGAGCGACAGTGAGGCAAAGGCAGGGATGGCCACTCAATCTGATGAGACAGAGGCCCTTGGTGACCTTCCTAAGAGTCATTTTAGCAGAATGATGAGGGTGCAGACCTAATGGGAATGGATTTGGGGAAGAATGAAGTATAGAAGGGGAAATAGCATGTTATATACAAATCTGTGGTGGTGGTGGTAGGGTTGCTTTGAAGGGAAACAAAAGACAGAACAATAGCTGGATTACAAAGCTTTCACTCAGATTCTTATCTGTTAGTAGGTATCATCTCACCTTTCCTTTCTTGTATTTGTTTTGTTTTTAATTCTTCAGGCATGTCTTCTGTCAGAAGCTTTACAATACTCTGGCTTGCCCTTTCAAAGTGTAAAAGCCATGATACAAAATTTTTATTTCTCCCAATCAGCTATCAAAAAGCTCATTCTGTCAAATGCCCAAACTCCCTTTACTGCAGGGTCCTGAGCCAACTAGTCATCACTAAAGAAAATAAACCACTTTCTCCTCCTGGGATAGGGAAGACGCTCAGCAGGAGGACATAGGTCAAAGAAGATATGAAAGAGTACTTAGTAATTCTTCCAGCATACTACAGGGTCATACCCCTTTGGTGACTTGAGAGTGCCACAACTTCACTTGCCACCATAGTCAGGTTCTGAGGGCTTGCTCAATAGGTTAAGAGCTAGTTCTGAGAATGAAGTCCAGAGCTTGTGCCTACCAGTGGTGTGGGTGGAACCAGACCTGATAGGGCATATGTATCTGTTTTCTCTTCCTGGAGATACAATTCAGATCCCTTCATAGTCTGTGGTAGCAACTTATAACCAACAGGCAAAAATGTTATTTCTATTTATTGATAGCACCCATAGCGAGAACTTACACTGAGTCATTCACCATATCTTCCAAGGATACTTTCCAAATGCACTAGTGAGGTACCACTAGTAACAGTCATGAACCTACTAATGCTGGCTCAATATGAGATGTGGAGGAATGATGGCCTTCTTCTTTTTTTTTTTTTTCCAGATCTTTAACTTCTCATATGTTAATTCAATCAACAAATACTTAGTGATGACTTACCATATACTGGTGATACTGTCATGGAATTTAGTTTTTAGTGGGAAGATACATACAATAACAAATCATATGTAAGTGAAAAGTTAGTTTTAGTTATAAGTGACATGAAGAAAATTAACGTAGGGGAGAGGGATGGTGTCTCAGTTCAGGTTGCTATAACAAGACTACTACAGACTGAGCGGCTTGAACAATAAGCATTTATTTCTCATGTAGTCTTGAAGGCTGAGAAGTCAGAGATCAGGATCTCTTTCCAGTTTCCTCACATGGTACAGAGAACGCAGGAGAGAGCGCGAGCCCACACATGACAGAGAGTGGGAGGGAGAATGAGCCCACACATGAGAGAGAGCCCACACATGAGAGAGAACACATGGGCACGGACTCAGGACTCTTTATCCCAATTAAGGCACCAACTCTATCATGGGGACTCTGTGGCCATGACCTCATCTAAGCCTAATCACTTCCCACCTCCAAATACTATCACACTAGGTATTAAGGCTTCAACATAATGAATTTTGAGAGAACAAAAATATTCAGTCCATAGCAGTTAGGGACCACTGTGGGGAAGGCTTGTGATTTTAAGTTGGCCTCATAGAGGTAAAGACCTCAAGGAGGTATGGGAGTGAGCTGGGCAGATGCATACCTGGGGAAGAGCATTTCAGGAAGGGAGAATAGACCCACAGGTAAGAGCATGTTTAGCAGGACCAGAGAAAAACCTCTTGGGTCAGGTCTGGAGCTGAGGGAGAAGAGCAAATGTGGTAAAAAAAATAACACAATGACACATCATGTATAGGTGGGTAGGTCTCAGGTAATGGCTTGGATAATTACTCTGAATAAGGTGGAAAGTTATAGGAAGGGTTGAGCAGAGGAGTGATATGATGTGGCTTATGTTTTAGATTATTCTGGCTGCTGTGTTGACGGTAGAGCGGGATGAAAGCAGGAAGGCAAGGACAGGGGATCAATTAACAGCCATTCCTCAAAATCCAGATGATGACTGACATGAGCCAAGATGGTTGTTGTAGGGATGTGAAGTGGTCAAATTCTGGATATTTGGCATATGCTGACAGATACACAAACGTGAGAGAAAAAAGGCATCAGGAATGACTCTGAGGTTTGTGGCTTGAGCAAACCGAAAGCTGAAGTTGCCATGGACTGAGATAGTTTCTGGGTAACGATCAAGAACCCAATTTTGGACATGTGAGGTGTGAGATTTCTAACAGACATTCAGGTGGAGATGTTGAGAATATAATAGGATAAAATGAGCCTAGAATTCAGAGAAAAGGCATGGTATCCGCACACAGATAGCATCTGAAGCCACAGGATTGAGGGAGATGAC